CCTTCCAAAATTATCCATCCTTCCATTTATAATTAATCAATATCTAAATTTAACAAACTTTGATATTAAATAACCCATATCTGGCAAAGAATAGCTGAATCTTCTGAAGTACAAGTTTAACATCCAGGGGGACATTCATAAATATATAATTTGAAATGTCTAATTCCCCACCATTCCTTTCATAGATTATATTCTTACATCTGGCGAACCTTTTAAATTTGATGTCATAAGAATAAAAAGTGATTTGAAGTTGTGATTTTATGTTACACTAATTTACGATACTTCTTCACGATACATAGGTCCAGTTATTGATCCACACAAATTTGGATTTGTATCTGATGATCCATACATTTTTGAGAATATTAGCTATTAGTCTACATATATATAAAAATATTCATCATCCCAAGAATCCATTCTATATTTATAATATATATTACTTCCAAAATTCTACTGTAATCATTATTGCATAGTGTGGAGGTAGAGTTATAAGTTTTGTAATCTTTGTGTTTTTTCCAAATACTTCATAGCCTCCAAATAATTTTATTTCATTACATTCACCTATACTTTTGGGTGCATTATATACTTACCATCCTAGCATTAAATAATATAAAATACCTTCAGTATCTACAAAGCTATCATCTATAAAGTTTTCTTGGTACAATATCTATCCATAAGAAATTGCAAAATGTATGAAAAGCATTTAATAGAGCATAATGAATAATAATTTAAATTTTATGGAAAAAATTAATCAAACTAATATATAAACCCTTTAAACTCCATTTATTTTCAACTAGTGCTGATTTATATACTAAATAATTATTTAAGAGTCTTATTCTTTGATTTTTCTAGAATGAAACCCTACTTTGACAAGTATGAAAATTTTTATGGAATAGTTAAATTACTTGATAAAATAATATTTATATAATTATGTCTTGCCATCTTAATATTATAATTTATAAATTTCTTATAAGAATGCAATATAAGTAGTATATTATGTAATACAAAGAAGGATTAATCTAAAGAAATAATTTTTCTTAATATTCCTCTCTATTTTCAAGTTTAATGCAATAAATGCTTTATATAAATCAACTGATTGTTCAGATTAATAATACTTATCACTTAAATGAGTATTACCTAAAGTATCATTAATCATTTCAATTTTTTTATATTTGTTTTTTCATTGTTTATTTTTTTCTTAAAAATTTAAATTAACTATCTCCTATTTTTATTTAAATTTGACTTAAAGCTCACAATTTAAGACAATAAACTAGATTTCTACTTTATCATATACATTGGTTTAAATTTTAGATAGTAATTTTGTTTGATGAAAAAAACAATATAAATTGGGTCAGCGTATGTTTTATACTTTAATAATTAAACAACATGAATCTGTTCAACTAAGACAACACATTTAATGAAATAGAATCATCAACTTCGAATCAAATTATTTTAAAAATCAAATATCAATCACTATATAGACCTCATATACAATTTCAAACTAAAGAATGCTTCTCTACTCAAAAATTACTCTTTAAAACATTTAATTGTGAACTTTATAATCTGAATAGAATGTAAATTCTTACTAAGTTTCCTATTCCATATTAAGTTTTCTTATTATTATCAATTAGACTTATTCACTTCATTATCTCTTGGTTGAATTTTTTACAGCTTCTTTATCTTTAAGCAATCATTTCTTAGTATTAATAGTACATATTATCACTGAAATTTACATATATATAATTCAAATTATTTTTATATATTGTTTTTATTTAGTTTTGAAGAATTCTAAATTATATTACATATTTTGAATAGTAATTTTTGGTCCTATTTCATTTTTTTTATGTCAAATATATAAAAATAATGATATTATAATAGATATGTAAATATATTTCAAACTGTAAAATGTTTTGATATAGGATTGTATGTTTCACTATTATCCTTAATCAACTTTTTGATTCTTAGAGCAATGTCTTTCATTTACTCGGTAATGGCTTTTTATTTCTTTTTTATCAAGCTGTGATGTATATTATTAACATACTCCATAACTTTTTCAATTATATTTCTTGTGCCTTTGTAACATTTTTCTAAGTGTTCACCAATGTGGTCTAACTTCATAAATTATCCATGTTCTTTGCATCCTTCTCCATTAG